GCCTAACCGCTAGGCCATCCTCCCTCTGCTGTTATCTGCTCTGCTGCTGCCAAGCTGGGCTGGAATGTTCCTCCTGGTTTTGTGCCCGGCTTTGGAGAGAGCTGGTGGGTGAGGATGGCTCTGTGGACAACACGCAATGAATAACACTCCAAGCCTGGTCCTGCCAGGGCAACCCCTTCGCCTCCCCTGGAATTTGCTTGGGCTCTTTCTTCCTCGCTTGGCTCAGGTTCTGGCCATTTCCATGAATAGCAGCGAGGAGCCTAAGGTGCCAGCCCGACTCCCAAGGCCCTGCCAGGTATAAGCAAGGCGAGGCCGGGCTCTGGATCCCGCGCTGTGCCGGGTCGGAGGCCTGTTTTCCGGGAAACCAGCTCACTGCCACCTTCCCTTTCTATCTGCTGGTGACTGTGGTTTTGGAGCCAGCAGGGGGAGAAGGCCGGCTTTGTGTGTGTGCCCAGGACATGGCTTTGTGTGTGTGCCCAGGACACGGTGCAGGTGTGACTGCCTGACAGGGCTCAGAGACCTGCACTTTGTGTGTGTGCCCAAGACACGGTGCAGGTGTGACCGCCTGATAGGGCTCAGAGACCTGCGCTTTGTGTGTATGCCCAGGACACGGTACAGGTGTGACTGCCTGACAGGGCTCAGAGACCTGCACTTTGTGTGTGTGCCCAAGACACGGTGCAAGTGTGACCGCCTGACAGGGCTCAGAGACCTGCGCTTTGTGTGTGTGCCCAAGACACGGTGCAAGTGTGACCGCCTGACAGGGCTCAGAGACCTGCGCTTTGTGTGTGTGCCCAAGACACGGTGCAAGTGTGACCGCCTGACAGGGCTCAGAGACCTGCGCTTTGTGTGTGTGCCCAAGACACGGTGCAAGTGTGACCGCCTGACAGGGCTCAGAGACCTGCGCTTTGTGTGTGTGCCCAAGACACGGTGCAAGTGTGACCGCCTGACAGGGCTCAGAGACCTGCGCTTTGTGTGTGTGCCCAAGACACGGTGCAAGTGTGACCGCCTGACAGGGCTCAGAGACCTGCGCTTTGTGTGTGTGCCCAAGACACGGTGCAAGTGTGACCGCCTGACAGGGCTCAGAGACCTGCGCTTTGTGTGTGTGCCCAAGACACGGTGCAAGTGTGACCGCCTGACAGGGCTCAGAGACCTGCGCTTTGTGTGTGTGCACACCCTAATCTGTAGAACAGGCCCCTTTTTGCTCCAGAGAGAGCCAGGAGAGCGCCATCAGCCTGTGTGGCCAGCCAGGCCACTAAGCCTGTGTCGAATTCCTCCCTACTGTGCCTTTGTGTGGGCTTTAATCGGGGCTGCCTCTGCCCTAACGTGAGGGTCACAGCCAGCTGCATCTGGCTGCAGCTCACTGCTTGTCAGCTTCCTGTTCATTCGCTTCCTTCCTCTCACGCCACCACGCCCGGCCACCGCTGATCACCCCTCGTCCTGCCTCAGTCTTTGCACCCCTCCGCAACGTGCAAACGGACACAGGGCCCTTTGGCGGTCGCCCGCCCGGCACATGGGTCTTTTCCACTCTGCCCATTGGCCCCCAAGCCCACTTTGTTTTTCTCCTCCCAGGCTGTTGGCACCCTCTGGCTGGACTAGAGCAACAGGGTGCGGTCCCTATGCAAAGGGACCGCCCCTTCCATTCCAGCCCTTCATGCCTGGGCCCGAGCAGCCCAGAACTTCATCTTGCTGGGCCATTTTCCTAGCGTCCTCAGAGAGTGGGTCGAAATGCAGACGCGCAGCGGGCGGGGCAGTAGCAAGGTCTCAGCACCCCCCGCTGGCCCAGCCGGAGGCCCTGTCAACACCTGGTTTGGGCCGAGCAGTTGGTGACTCGCAGCGCGCATGCATCAGTGTTTGGACCCTGGCAGGGTCAACCTGGGGCTTTACTGAAACCGAGCAACGAAGGCGTTCCTGGGACGTTTCTTCTTCCTCGCGGGGCTGTACCACCATGTGCTTCTTCCCGCACAGCACCTGCCGCCCTCGCCAGACTCTAAGGGCACCTTCCTCCCCCAGTCCATGCAGGGAGGGGTACACGGGCCAGTCTGGCCCCCATGCGGCACCTCAGAGGCTGAGCAGGCAGGGTCGCCAGGAAGGGAGCAACGAAGGCGTTCCTGGGACGTTTCTTCTTCCTCGCGGGGCTGTACCACCATGTGCTTCTTCCCGCACAGCACCTGCCGCCCTCGCCAGACTCTAAGGGCACCTTCCTCCCCCAGTCCATGCAGGGAGGGGTACACGGGCCAGTCTGGCCCCCATGCGGCACCTCAGAGGCTGAGCAGGCAGGGTCGCCAGGAAGGGCGAGTGAGCTGCTCCATGGCTTGCAGTGGCTCTGCTCAGAAGCTTGTGGCTGGGGGGCGTGGGGGAGCAGCCTGCCCAGCTGCACCCCAATGGAGTCAGCCCTGCACCCCGTGAGCGAGACAGAGAGTTAAGCGCTGTGCTAGGCGAAGAACAGGGAGAAACACTGTTCCTGGTGTTTTCCCCGTCTCCTCCCCGTGCGGTAAAACGGCCCTGCCTGTCTGTCCGCTCTGCCTGTCTCCCACGGCACAAGCGCTCTGGGCAGTCTATCTCCTGTGCTCTCCGTGGCCAAAATGAACCCCAGCGGCAACCTGGCGTTCATGGCAGTTTCCATGGGAGCCTCTGGGGTGAATGCCCAGGTGCTGCAGACTAGGGGGGTGCTTCTAAAGTGCCACAGGGCCCCCCCAGAGCCACGCTGAATGTGGCAGAAGCTCGGGGCACTGCTTCCCACGTTGCCTAGTGTCCGGGGCAAAGACAGGAGAAGCAGAAGCGATGGGCAAGAACCAGCCACGTGCCAGAGTGTGGAAACAAGGGGAGAGGGGTTTTTTTTTTGGTTGTGGCTATTTGAAGTGAAGCAGAGAAAGGAACATCCCAGCCTCCATGGTCCCCACAGAACTTCCCAGTCTTGCCTGAGGAGAAACAGCTTTGGGGAAGGTCCTGAAAGTGTCAGCCCAGGAACCCTGGAGGCTGAGTGAATCCAGGTGAGGCTACCAAAAGCAAACCTAAGGGTCTATCGGAGGAGCCTCGGGACAGTGCTACCCTTGGGGGGCAGGGGGACATGTGGCCGCTGTGTTCTGTGGTGTTTGGAGAGCACAAGTCCAGGCATGTCTGGGGCCTGGATGTGCTGGAGCAATTCCCTGGTGTGGCCGCCTGCAGCTGAGTCACTGACTTGTATTTCTCTGGCCCGGACAGTGACTGTTGATGGATTCTTTCACACCCCGCCTGGGCGTTGATTACTTTCCTCCCTGTTGCCTCTGGGGAGCTACTCTCTGGCTGATTCCCCAACTTACCCTATGTTTTAGTGACAACCATGCAACAGAATTGTCATAACGTTCATGATGCACACTATGGAGAGAGCAATGACGTTCAGAGACCAGAGCCTTTCCCCTGGCAGCTCGCAAGGCATGCTTTGTATGTCAGCTCGCGAGGGTATCAAATGAGGGTTATGGGGGTTACAGGATGCTGCCCCAAGAGCAACACAACCACGTAAGAAATCCTGGCTCTATTTAACCTGTCTTGGGTTTGAAGTTGGCCGCTGATTTTGGTACAGCATCCTCCTGCTGTCTACCTAGGCGGGTGCTTTCAGGTATTGTTGCTCTTGTATTGTTCTAGTTACTCCTGTTCTTTCTTCTCCTTTGTTGTTTCTTTTGTTGTATTGTTACCTTGGGGATTCTGATTGTTAATGGATTCCTTGTGTGTCGGACTACACTCCTAGCATACTATTTGGTAGGAAACATCCCGGGCAATGCGAGGGTCCTGTGGGATGGAGGCACCAGGTGCTGAGATACAGAATCCAGGACCCACGCCCCCAAAGAGCGAGGGCAGGAGCCTATCCAGCCAGCTGGCAGTAGGGAGAAGGTTTAAGCTGTGCCTCGGGTTACACTGGTGCAGTTTCCCTGATGGCGGGTGGTGTGGGCAGAGCACGATCAGCTCCACACTGACTGTGACGCCAGCCTCGAGCGTTCCCAAATCACGAATCAGGCACCTCAAATCATGAAACTGGCTTCAAAATCAGGAGATTTTTAAGTGGGGGGGGAGGACCTAAGGCCAGGGGGGCAGATGCGGTTCCCAGCTTGCCTGGATCCACCCCCCCAAGGCTCAGCCCCACCCCCCCAGCATTGGGGTGCCTCTACTGGCAGCTGGGGCGAGCTACCATGCAGCCCCGCCTCCCACGGCACGCCCACCCCGCTCACCCCAGGGCCAGGCTCTGCTGTCAGACAGGGAGAGGAGAGCCGTGGGGCTGCTGGAAGGGAGAGCCGAACACAGCACAGGGCGCTTGGCTGCGCTAGCAGGGAGGTCGTGTCTGCGGCTCTGCTGCTCCCTGTCTGGGCCGGGGCTCGGAGCAAGTGCACGGCTCAGGTGGGGCGGGAGCTTCCCTGGCACGCTCCAGCAACCAGCTGCTGTCAGCACAGGCGGCGTGTGCCCTGGGGAGCAGGACGCGCAGGCCTGGCCGCCTGCCCATTGCTCAGGGAGCTCCTATATAGAGCGAGGGAGGCAGCCTCGCTCGCTCAGTTGTGTGTGCAGCTCCCAGCGGCCCACCGGCCCCGCGCGGTCAGCGGAGGGGGTAAGTCAGCGCTCGCCTCTCCTGCCTGGGGGCAGCGCCCCAAAGCACCCGGTGGGGGGCTGGGGGCATTTCTGCAGGCAGAGCAGCGCTTCTGGGACCCCCCCTTTGCTGGGGCTGCTGGCAAGTGACCGCCCTTGGGAAGGAAGGACACCAGGAGCTGCTCATACATGGGGGCGTGTGTGAGTGTGGGGGGAATTGCCGCCCCACTACCCCAGGGCTGGGGGTGTGAGTCACTCAGCGCCGAGAGGGGCAGGGAGCGCTCCGGACGTGTGCACAACACGTGCAAAGGGCCCCTCACTCTGCACCTGGCCAGGCCAGCTCTGGGGGATTCACCCTCTCCCCCCCACTCCCCGGGGCTGGAGGTCACTGGCTCAACAGCCCTTCAGGCCTGGGCTTTGGCTGCAGCAAGAACATTCAGTTCTGGTTACTAAAGGGGGGTGTTGCGCTGTTTTGGCTCCTCCTCATCCAGCGCCTAGGACAGGCCACCGTCTGGGGGGGGCCCAGCGCAGAGGCCTGAGCCAGGCTCGGGGGAGTTGCTAGGAGACACTGGCCGTCATGCTCCATGACCAGACGGGGACTGGCTCTGGGGCTTGGGGACGCGTCCCAGGTGTGTTCACCCTCACGGCCTTACGCCTCTGGCAGGCATGGCCGAGGGGCTTTTAACTGAGGCATTTGACGCCTGCTGCTGCCTTGTGGCCAAACCGTGTAGCGTAGGGTTCCCTCACGCGTGGGGCGCTTGGTAGCAACATGTCCTTTCGCTGACGTGCCTGTGGCCCTGAGAGCCCCGTTCCCCCTCCCCCCAGACCCTTGGTGCTCAGGACAGAGCCAGGCCTGGCGCTGCCCAGGCCCAAGTGAAATACACTGGCCCAGCCGCACGTGGGCCCTCCCCGCGCCAGGCCCCGGCCCAATGCCAGGTGCGCAGGGGTCCCTGCGGACGAGGCGGTGGGTGGCGCCGATGTACGAAGAGGCTGTGAGGGATTCCCACGGCATATCGCTGTGGCCTCGGGGTCCAGGCAGGCCCGGGGCGCCATGGAGAATTCATTCCTGTGACTTTCTCGTTTCCCTTGACTCACGGAGGGACAGGCACCGGGCCAGCGTGTGCGCGGGGTGACTCGCTGCCTGCCCGCATAACTCCGCAGGGCGGAGGGCGAGCAATTTTCTGTGCGCTCAGCGCCTGCGCCGGAGAACCGCTTTTCAGGCATGCCCGGTGCCTGTCTCCCTGTCCCGGGACGCTGGCTCAGGAAGCAGCCACAGCATGGGCCAGGGATGGCCAGCCCCTCCCACGGTTAGGGGGCTTCCTGCTTTCCATCGTATCAATGGAGCTGCTGCTGCTTTCGGACGCCCTGCTCGAGGGCCATTTCCACATCAGCCTGGCGGGGAGGAGGAAGGGTTTCCTCGCGGTTGAGGTGATGTGGCCGAACCCTTTGAGAGGCTCGTGGGGGGGGTCCTATTGTCGGGATTCACAGGATACGTCGTTTTTTAAACCCCATTTTATGGAGACAAGGCTGGTTCCGTCTAGGGATTCTGATGGCCTGCAACGACATTCGTCTGGGGCAGGTCTGTCTGGGAGTAAGGTGATTTGCTTGCATGAAAGTCACCCCCTGCTTGCACAGGCAGCGAGTTTGATGGGCCTGCGGTGCTCCGGCACCAGGAATACACCTGGCCCAGAGCCGGGCTTCCCCAAAACTCGCCGTGTGCGCCCCTGTGTGACCTCTCGCCCTGCCTGCCTCCTCCGGGCCTTCAAACACCTCAGGGTCCCCTGCTGCCACCACCAGCAGGGCTAGAGTTCCCCCTGCCATACTCTGCCCGGAGACTGCCCCACCCTGGGCCGCAGGGAAGTGCCAGCAGCCGCGCGGGGTGAGCAGCAGGAAGCCGCTCTAGTCCCGCTGCGCTGCCGGTGGTGGTGGCGGGCCTCCCCGGGGCGTTTGATGTCACCTGGAGGGGTGCTGAGGGGTGACCCAGCATGGTGGGGCGAGAGGAGGACGTGTGCTGGCGGGGAGGGAGAGCCACGGCCATTCGCTTCACTCGCTGCTCACGTTGTGTCTGCAGGTGTGCGGCCTCTCCCAGGCGCCGCGATGACCTTGTTTGATGGCTCCTTCCCCTTCTACCCGGTCTCCAGGACGCCTTTCCTCTTTAACACGAGCTGGGCCGTGATCCTCTCTGTCTTCCTCACCGTGCTGGCCACCTTCCTTCTCATCCTGCCTGGCATCCGGGGCAAAGGGGTAAGGACGGGGGTTCGGCGGGGGGAGAGACGCATCGCTCCCCATGCTAGGCCAACTGTGAGGGCAGTGTTCCCCTTTCCTCCTGGCTGGTGGACTCCAGCTCCCCCGCTAGGCATGTGGGGGCACAGACCAGAGGCCATGAAGGCACCGAACAGCCGACGCTGTCTCTGGTCGAGTGAATTCCACGGGGGCTATTTGAGGGAGGCACTTTGGGCGGGGGGAGGGAGCTGTGCATGGTATGAGCAGCCAGGTCCGGTCCTAACCAATTGGTGGCCCCGGGCAACCACCTGGCTCGTCTGTAAGGTTGCCAGATGGTTTAAAAAATACCAGACAAAAATTTGTCAAGCAAAAGAAAAAAAGGGTCAAGGCGTAACCAGGGAAACCAGGGGGGAGGATTCGGGAGGTCGGCCCCACATGCGGGCGCAGACGGCCCCTAAGACCGGCTCTGTGATGCCGAGGAGGCCGTGAGCCCTCCCCTCACCTCATGGAGAGACAGAGGCCTGCTCAGGGTGTATGGGACCCCCCAGCCGACATGTCACCCCCCGTCCCCGGGTCTCTCGGCGCCAGGGAACTGGAGGTCACTCTGGCGACGGGGGTGCCTCTTAATGCCAAGCAGCAGGGATGGGGGCAAGCCTGGCCAGCAGCCAGCTTCCATGGGCTCTTCAATGTCTGAGGTGTTGTCTCTGGAGCTGGCTCCATAGGCCATGTCTGGCCCTGTCTCGTGGAGGCCTGGACCAACTGCCAGACTCGCGAGGAACATTAAGGCCCAGTTCCAAGGTTTCCGGCGCTTGCCCAGCTCCAGGTGTCCCATCACCCCGGTGCGAACGCGTGAGCCCCCCAGAAACCAGGAGAACTTCAGGGAAGAGGCCCCCCATGTTCTGTTGGCTGGACTCTACACCTCCACAAGGCTCGTCTGGCCTTGTAGCAATGGCAGCCCCTCCCAGGACACTCCTGCGTTCGCCTCTAATGCCAGCCCCTCGCTCTGCCCCCAACACCGGTGTAAAATAGCCCTGGTCCCGCGCGCCTAGCTTAGACACGATTGACCGGGTGGTGTCAGAGTCCAATATTGTGACGCACGTTTTCTTCCTGAATTGGGACAAAACGTTGAAAATATGAGTGGATTGAAGAATCCAGGAAAAGGTCCATTTGGGAACGTGGAAGGAGAACATTGCTCGCTCATTTTCAACCTGCTGTGGGGCTGGGTCTCTCAGGCCCCCACTTGCCCTTAGGGGCCCACTCCCATGAGGCCCAGCAGTCTTCCCCTGGGTGGGAGCTGCCAGTGACGTGGAAACCACAGTTTCCTGGCCCATCTGTGTTTCAGACTCTCTTGCTTTAGAGCAACACCCTGGTGGCTCCGGAGTTGAGTGACCGGATGGGCCGATATTATCAAAACCATCCCAATATGAAGGCCTGTGTCATAGAAATGCCCCCATAGCCCCCAGGCTCCCTATTATGTGTCCCCATTTCACACTCGCTATTGGTACCAGCGACCCCAAAGTTGCGATTTGCTTCCGGTTGAGATTTCTAACTGGGCTCATTTGTTTTGATTTTCCCCGCGGAGAATCCCTCGGGAATCCCTCCTTCCCTGCGGCCGCGCATTGTGATTTCAACGCGGCCCATTTTCTGACGGGAAAATGAGCTGATCAGGAATGTCTGGCCAGCCCGTCCCAGGAACCAGGGCGTGAACAGAGCTTGTCAGGGTCTGCCCTCGCGAGCCCTTGGTCCATAGCGAGTTCACAGTGAGCCGTTCTGTCCCCCCCTACAGAGGTTCTTCTGGTTCCTGCGCGTGATCCTCAGCCTCTTCATTGGAGCAGTGATTCTCAGTGAGTACCGGATGCTGCGCTCCGGGTGCCCCAGCAGGCAGGGAGGAGGGAAATAGCCAGAAAATCTGCCCCGCAGCGAGGAGGACAAAGACTGATGATGGGCAATGGGGTGGGGTCCCATTGAAGACTCTGGGAGGAAAGAAGACGAGTGAGTCCCATTTTTGACTAACGTTCTGGGGCTCTGGATTCAGCAGGGTAATTAGCGAGCAGAGTTAATTAGCTGCCCCCCACCCCAATAGGCGAAGGCAGGGAGAACTGGCATGCGGACGCGACATGGTGGGAAGAGGCGGGAGGGTGGAGCACCCACTGGGAAAAATAAAAGGCAGCCCTTGTGCAGGGCAGGCGTGCGGGATTCGCTCAGATGTGCGCAGGAGTCGTGGCCAGGCCGCTGGCCGCCAGAGCTGTGCACCGTACGTGGCTGTGACGTAGTGGGGGTACCTTGCTGGTTGCTATGCTGGGGCTGTGGGTGACCCCCACTGGCTGCTGGCTGTAGCACGGCCCAGCAGGACAGGGGATGAGTCACTAGGCAAGGGTCTCTCAGCCTGTCTGACCAGCTACCCCCCAGGGAGAGGAACAAAGGAAGGTGGAATGCCGCCCCTGGCTGGGGGGCAGGGTTGGAAGAGAGTTAGTTTCGGTCGGGGAAGCAGGGGAGAAGGAGCTAGGGAGGGGGCTGGGATTGTAGGGCCCAGCCACCCCCCATCTCAAGGGGGGGCACTGAGGCCTCCTAGCCCCAGTCCCTGTAACCAGATTACATCTGTGCTGTGCTGTATCCTGGAGAAGCAATAAACTCCCTCTAGTCTACTGGCTGGTGGAGTCTGTTTGTGCCACTATGGGGGGTGCAGGAGACAGGGGACCACGACGCGCAGCCACAGTGGCGACGTGCCTACCCCCTGGGGCTGGCTCCAATGCCCGCCCGGCCTGTGACCCACGCGCTCCCGACCCTGGGGCCGCAGAGCAGAAAGAGCCATCCTGCCCAGAGGGGCGCTCAGGCCCTGCATTGCCATCCTGGCTCCCAGCAATTCCCAGCAGCTCTTGGGCACCAGTTGGCTTTGGCACATGCCCCTCTGACGCCCCATCCCCTCAACTTCCTGTGCCCCTCCCAAGCACCGCCCCACCCCAAATTCTACTGCCCCTGCAAGAGGCCAGCTCCCCCATTCCCAACCCCCTGCCCTCTCCCCACCTAGCTACCCCTGGGCTGCTCTGTGCTGAGGGGAGGAACCCGGAGTCGAAGCCACCTTCCCTACCAGGGATCACCACTGATGGTGCATCCTATCTGGGACAGGCGGGACGCGTCGTGGCCTCCTGGTGAGCCAAGCAGGACAGACCCCTGGCGCTGACACTGGGGTGGGGCTGTGCTTTGAGGCTCCATGCAGTCCCTGCCGAAGGTATCCAGCTGGCAGCGCCCACACGGGGCCGTTACGGGGCAGCCCCACCTTCCAGAGCTGTCTGTGCACACCCTTCCAACAGACAGGCGCTCGGCAGCTGCCGTGGCGACATGGAGTTTGTCACTCGCTCTTCGGCACAGTCAGTGGCTGGGTCGGGAGCACGGAGGCTCTGTCTCATCCCTGCCACCTTTGCAGGTGTTAACTTCAGCCGGGACTGGGAGACCGGCGGGGTGCGGGCAAACACCTCCTACAAATCCTTCAGCCACGCCATGGTGATCGCTGACGTTGGCCTGCACATCGGCTTGTTGGGGGTCAACATCACGCTAGTGGGTGAGTCCTGGGCTTCAAGTCAAGGGCGAGTAAGAGGGGTAGATGCTGGGGCCTTTGATCTCCCCAGGCAGGCTGGCAGGACAGAGGGGAGGTAAGTCTCCTGGGACTGCCATAGGACAGAACTGTGTCTCTCTCCTGCAGGGAACCCCGTGACTCAGATCAACGAAACCATCAACTATAACGAGCACTTTGCCTGGCACCTAGGCGCAGACTACACCCACACTTACACAGACAGCCTGGCCAGGGGGCTGCCCAGCCCCATCCTGTACGTGGCAGAGAAGTTCACCCAGGAGAGCCCGTGCGGCATGCACAGCCAGTATAGGATCTCTGGCCACTACACCTCCGTCATGCTGTGGTAAGGGCCAGCGAGAGGCTGTGCCTCGGGAGTACCGTCCGGGAGGGACAGGGGTGCCCAACGGTGGAAGGCGGAGCTACAGTAGCTTCCTGACATGGACAGCGTGTGGCTCTGAGTAGCATCGCAACAGGGTCTGATGGCCACAAACCATCCTTAGGAAAGGCCTGTCCAAGGCTTGACTAGCACCGGACAGGTGGTCCCACAGGGGAGCTGTCTTGCAGAGCTCTCCAATGCTCCTAACCCTGAGCAAAGGTTTTCTTAGCCGGGCTCCTGCCCTGCAGCCACGCTAGCTCAGCAAGGCCAGCTCTTGGGTGACAGGAGGCATCCCAGATGCTCCAGGACTCGGCCGCTGGTTCTCTTACTTCACAGCCAGTGACAATTCCGTGCCTCACGCAGGGACTGGTGGCCACCCCTACTCAGTTACGGCCATGTGGCACTTCTGCAGGACTAGGGGTAATAGCCACCATCCCAGCCAAACTCCACCTCCTGCAGGAGGTTCTCGCTTTAGACTGTGGGGGTCTATCTGAGCCATGGTCATCCCCCTGAGTCGTATTTCTAGATATCCGGGGCATCCCCTGGTGAGGCCGCTCTGGGGGCCTGGCGTCACAGAGCAGGTGTGCCCCTAGCATGGCAGGTAGGACATTCTCCTGCATGCGCTCATCCCAGGCAGTCCCGGGTGTCTCAGATGTTCCCCCGAGTGAGACTAGAGAGTTTTCCCGTGTCCTGTGAGCCTTGGGGCCCGCGCACTGCACCCTCCGCCCTACCCGCACCACTCAGGGCCATTCTCCGAGCTCCAGCGGCCAAGGAGAAGATGGGTTCCAGGGCAGATGTAACCCACTGGGCTCCTCTAACAAAAGTCGTCCCTGCAGTTCAGCAGCATTACACCAGGGCTGAGCTCAGGTTGGGTGCAGGGCAGATCCCGGGGGTAGCCCGCTGGACCAGTGTGAAGTGAGCGCAGCCTGCTGCCCCTGTGCCCTGAGCTGCCACCACCCCCGCGTTGCACAGGGGGGCACCCCCCCCAGGGCCAGGAGACGAGACCCTTTCACCCCTGCTGCTCCTCACAGGTTGGCCTTCTGCACCTGGCTCATTTCCAATGTGCTGTTCTCCATGCCCATCCTGCTGTATGGGGGCTACACGATCCTGCTCACGGCGGTGCTGCTGGTCTGCTCGCTGCTCTTCTTCTCCGTCGCCAGGCATGCCCCCCTGTGCACCATCCGCTTCGGCCCAGCTGCCTTGCAGACTGTCTACGGGGCCTCCTTCTGGCTCACGCTTGCAACAGGTCAGTAGCCGGCTCCTCAGAGGGACTGGGGGGCTCCTCGGGGGGAGCTAGCAGCACAGAGGAGGGGCTGGGTGGGGGCAAAGGTGGGGGCAGGCTGCACCTGGCACAGGGAACCGACGGGGGATGCTAAGTCCCCCTGACTCCGAGCGGGCTCAGAGCTCCACGCGAGCATCC